ATGAGGGCAATGAATGTACAAATGCGCTTTACACAATTGATGTGTGTATGGATTGTGATAAGAGTTGTATGAGCCCCTAATAAAATAATTAAAAAGAAGAAGAAGAAAGACAGACACCGTATGAGGACCCACCTACCAGAAGAACTCCAAAGATTGCCGGTGGGCACCAGAAACTAGAGAAGCTGGCTGAAGGGACGGCCATCGCCTGATTTGGACTGTTAGCAAAAATAATGTCTGTCCTTTGAAGTCTGTGCTGCCTTGTGTGACAGCAGTGTTGGGTAACCGAGACAAGGAAGAAAGTTTCTCCACCAACTCACAAGGCTGAGCCTGGACGTGGCAGCCTGGGAGGAAAGCCTTGTGGATGGGCAGGTCCTTGATGTAGAATGGACCCGCAGGATCGAGTGTCTGGTGATTCACACCCTAACAGCCCAGGGTTGTGGGGGGCAGCCCAGGGAATAGAGATGACTCGGGCAGCAGGCTCCGCGTCTAGAGTTTTTCTTTTAGAGGCAAAGGTTCTACAGCTAAGCTGTTTCTATCTCTGGAAAAGAAAGAGAGAGAAACTCCTGTTCTCTGCTCACAGTCCTGGTCTTGAGATGGTCAGAGGAGGTCTCTGAGGCATCAAGTCCCTCAAAAATCACCAGCTGGGAAACGAAAGAGTCACACTCATAACTCGACGTGTGGAACTGTTAGCATGTACTTTCTGCTAAGTGCCTCACATATGGGATGATGTAATCCTCACAAGAATCCCGTGAGGAAGAAATGACTGTTCTCATCTTACCCAAGAGGAAAAGGAAGGAGATGCCAAGGAGGAAGCCCTGGGCCCCACGGCTCACCGTGGCTGCCCCATGCTGCAGCTGAGTCCGTTCTGACGATGGAGAAATCCATTGAAAAGCTCCTTGCCACCAGGTCGCCACCAGCTCACAGTGACCCTGTGGGATGGGGTGGAGCTGTACCTGTGTCTGCCAGAGGCAGGAGCTGTTTATAGGAATCGGAAGGCTCCTCGTGTGCCCTAGGAGCGGCTGGTGGTTTCCAAACTACGCATCTTGTGGCTAGCAGCCCGACTCACAGCGGTGTACTCTCTGTTCCCCAGAGAGTTTTCAAGGCGGGGACCTTTTGGAAGCAGATTGCCAGACTTTTCTTCCATGTGCCTCTGAGTGGGTTTGAACCACTTAAGTAGCTGAAATCAAACTGGAATCCAGGCAATTGGGCTGCAGAGCCCACCATCTAACAACCGCTGCTATTTATCTAAGGCCCACAGCATGGAGTCCATCCCAACTCCTAGCAACCCTACAGGACAAAATAGAACTGCCCCCAGAGGGCTCTGGGGCTGTCAACCTTTACGGAAATGGGTTGCTTCAGCTATAGAGCATCTACAGCATACACGTGGATCTGCCCCTTTTAGGATCCATGGGGCACAGTGGTTAAGTGCTTAGCCACAGTTCAGATCCAGCAACTGCTCTAGGGAAGAAAGATGTGTTTGGCTGCTCCTTTCCTGATTAAAGCCTCAGAAACCCTAGGGAGCGGTCGTACTCTGTGCTGTAAGGACTCTGGAGGAGGGGAGATCAACTGGGTGACACACAACAACGATTGCCCCATATTAGGGCAATTCTTGAAATCTGCAAATACTCTTAGACAGTGTTAATGTAGAATGGCCCTCCAGTGCTAGAGACTTGCACCCCAGGCTCCCTGTAAGCCAGGGCGCAGCCAGGGTACCTCCCTGGTGTGAAATGAGACGGCAAGAGCTCAAAGTAAAAAACTGAAACCAAAGGCGGGACAGGGAAGAGGTGGGAGAGCTGGGGAACAACAAGAACAGAGCTGAATGCACATATGTAAATATATGTATATATGAGGATGGGAAATAGAGCTATGTGCACCTATTTATAGGTTTAGTATTAAGGTAGCAGGTGGACATTGGGCCTCTACTCAAGCACTCCCTCAATGCAAGAACACTTTGTTCTATAAACTGGCATTCCATGATGCTCACCTTCCCAACATGATCACTAAAGACAAACCGGGTGCATAAGCAAAGGTGGTGAAGAAAGCTGATGATGCCCGGCTATCAAAAGATACAGCATCTGGGGTCTTAAAGGCTTGAATATAGACAAGCGGCCATCTAGTTGAGAAGCAACAAAGCCCACATGGTAGAAGCTCGCCAGCCTGTGTGATAACGAGGTGTCAACAGCATCAGGTATCAGGAATCAAAGAACAAAGAAAATTATATCCAAAAAAATGAAATCATATCATTGTGAATGAGAGGGAGTGAGGAGTGGAGACCCAAAGCACAACTGTAGGCCACTGGACATCCCCTTACAGAAGGGTCATGGGGAGGAGACGAGCCAGTCAGGGAGCAGTGTAGCAATGATGAAACATACAACTTTCCTCTAGTTCCTAAATGCTTCCTTTCTGCCACTATCATGATCCCAATTATACCTTACAAATCTGCCTAGACCAGAGCATGTACACTGGTACAGATAAGAGCTGGAAACACAGGGAATTCAGGACAGATAAACCCCTCCAGACCAATAATGAGAGTAGCGATACCAGGAGGGTAAAAGGAAGGTGAGGTAGAAAGAAGGAACCAATCACAATGATCTACATATAACCCCCTCCCTGGGGGACGGACAACAGAAAAGTGGATGAAGAGAGACATAGGACAGTGTAAGACATGAAAAAATAATAATTTATAATTTATCAAGAGTTTGTGAGAGGGAGGGTGGGAGAGGGAGGGAGTAAAAATGAGGGGCTGATACCAAGGGCTCAAGTAGAAAGAAAATGTTTTGAGAATGATGAGGGCAACAAATGTACAAATGTGTTTGACACAATGGATGAATGGATGGATTGTGATGAGTTGTACAAGCCCCCAATAAAATTATTTAAAAAAAAAAAATAACAGGGCTGAACAGCCTCACAGTTTAACCCTCCCCCGACTATTTATGCTGCGGAATCGGTTATGAAAAAATGCTGAGGAGACACACACACACACACACACCATAAGAGACCCAACAGGACCCCGCCTCTGCCCCACAGAACGAGGAGGGGAAGCAGGGAAGCACAGCTTGAGACGCTGTGTAGACCAGGGTCCGGGTCTTACATTAGAGACTTAGACCTTTTTTTTAATTTGAAGGCTATCAAGTCTATTTCAACTTATGGCCCCCTGTGTGTGGCACAGAAAGGGCTCCGTGGGGTTTTCAGAAGACGATCACCAGGGTTTTCTTTGGAGGCGTCTTTGGGTAGACTTGAACCCCCAACATGCAGGTTAGCAGCTGAGCGCAGTAACCATTTATACCACCCAGGGACTCTGAGGCCTGCCTCAAGGCCCTGAATTAAGTGCGGCTCCTTCTCGGAGCCCTCACTTGGGCTCGGAGACATGAGACATGAGACATGAGACATACTCATGAACACATCAGACCCCTTTGTATTTTTCCTCTTGCAAAGCCCCGGTCCAGCCTGTGGACTAAGCTCCTTTGGCGTGATTATCCGGGTCCCGACAAATCCTCGTCTCAAGCAGGGTGAGGCCCTGGGTTCTCCGAGCAAGACTGGAGCCTGAGCAGCGGGCCACCCGCAGTGGGCAGCTGGACCTTCCTGATCGCATGCCTGCGAGCGTGTCATAAAAACTAACCTTTCGTCATGCAGAGGGAAAAATAGCAAATCTGCCAAATACTCCATAATTTCTCCAACCAGGATATTTGTCTTGCCAAACAAATTTCTCCTGATATTTAAGCATTCTTGAAATTTCATTTTTGCCAGAGAAACATTCCCAGCAGCTAATCTGAAAGGAAAACATAGGTGAGAGATTTCCTGGGCATGATTGATGTTGGCAACGTGGACTGTGCTGGCAACACTAATGTCCATGGACTTCTCCTCAGAGACACCAGAAACTTGTCCCGGAAGCGACAAAGGAAAGCCAGCAGGGCAAGTTATGATCACTGAGCTTCAAGGACGAGATAGTGTACGCCGTCTTTAAAGCAGTGCTTCTCCACCTTCCTCATGCCGCGACCTCAGGTGGTGGTGACCCCCAACCATAAAATCATTTTCATTGCTACTTCATCACTGTCATTTTGCTACTCTTATGAATCGGGCGACCCCTGTGAAAGGGTCATTCGACCCCCAACGGGGTCGCGACCCACAGGTTGAGAACCACTGCTTTAAAGGAATTAATCATAACAATAAAAATTAGTAGGGGGAAAAAAATCTCCCACCCCACCCCACGCCCCAAGAGACATGAATCCTTACCTTAAAATGCCTTCTGTGTACTTCATGGTAGCTTGATCGCTTGGGTTGTTGTCCAGTAACTGGGCAAAGTCAGTAGCATATTCCAAAATGTGATTTTGTTTTAAGAACTCCTCGGACCCTGACTTTGTCAGATTGTTCAGCACTCTGCCTGCAGGGAATCGATTTTGGCAAAGAATATGATGCCGACGATTCCCCCCACTCCACCCCAACACAGTAAAAACGGCAATAGGCAGAGCATTTAATACCACGTCTGCATCAATGCCAATAGGCAGACGCTTTCCTTCATGAATTAATCCCCAATCTATACTGTACGACGACGGGCTGGTTTTCATACAAGGGTGCGTGTGCACCACAATTATAGGGTCAAGGAGCTAAGACCACAGATTGAATTCAAAATGAAGAGTCTGTTTTGCAAAGTAGCAAGTGAGAAATTGGGGAAGGATACAGATGTGGTGAAGCCAGTTGTTCCCGTGGTAACCGGAGGTAGCCAACACATCTTGTTGTGCTAGGACACAATGACACGACAGAGCCTTACAAGAAGCAAACGGAGGCACTTCCAGCAGGCCCAAGAATGGCAGTACCTGGGGAGCCATTCTAGCTGGCCACACTGAGTGGGGACACCGGAGAACCCACCTGAAGCTGGCGTCTGGCCCCAGGGAAGGACAATGGGTTTAAGCAGAGGAGACCTGCGCCAGGTACTTCCCGGCCTCTCCCTTTCCGCAGGTTTCAGAGTCTTCCACCCAGGAGATGGCTCAAGAGGAGCTTAAGATTAGGTGTACTGAAGGCACCACACCACACCGCCCCCACGCAGTCCCCCGTGATCAACATCCAGAGTGAGCCCCACGTGCCCAACCACGTCGTCTGGTCCCTCTTCAACACACTCTGGCTCCAATGCTGCTGCCTGCGCTTCGTAGCCTACGGCTACTCCATGAAGTCTAGGGACCAGAAGATGGTAGGCGCCATGATTGGGGTGCAGAGCCACGCTTCCACGGCCAAGTGCCTAACATCTTCTCGACGGGCCTCGGCCTCCTGGGGATCCTCATTTTCATCGTTCTTCTCACTACGGATGGGCACAGTGATGAGCTGCCAAGCCCTGTCACAGATGATGGGCCAGCAAAGCCACTAGTCTCTGCACCACGCTGTGTCCTGAACCCTCTGATGGACGACCTGGTCCCTGACCCCTGGCCTGCCCACCCCCGATACAGTTTGAATGTGTATCTCCATCTATCAGCAAGCTCAATAAAGCACCCCAGTGTGTTAAAAAAGAAGAAGAAAATGGATGTGCTTCAATGAGTTAATAACGGGGTGGCCTTACATCCACATAGCCCACTTCCATCCAGATTCTGAGAACGCTCAAACAAAACCCAAACTCACTGCCATGGGGCCAGTTGGGTCCAACCATTTTCTCCTTGCTTGAGAGTCTTCGATTATTTGACAATAATGCAGCCGCCTGGGAACCAGAGAGTGCTTTCTAAGCCGTGGTGTGGTATGGGAAGAGGAAAATGCACAATTTAAAATCAAGGAAAGTATGTGTCAGGGTTATAACTAGACACCATCCTTATTCAGGCTGTATGCTGAGCCGCTAATCCAAGAAGCGAGACCGTAGGAAGAAGAGTCGGAATTGCAGGAAGACTCATGAACAACCTTCTGTATGCCCACCACACAAGAAGTACTTACTGATGAAGATGAAAGAGTCGAAGCGGATGGCAATTCAATCAAAAGCAAACAAAAATCCACCCAGCTGGATCAATAGATCACATCATACTAAACAGATAAACAGAGAAAAGGTTGAAGGGATTTCATTTTACTTGGATCCACAGTCCACGTTGATGGAAGCAGTAGTCGATGCTATACTGCAGCATCCTGACTGGCTCATCCCTTCCTTGTGACCCTTCTGTGAGGGGATTCCAATTGTCTACAGATGGGCTTTGGGTCTCCACTCCGACCCCCCTCGTTTGCATCAATATGATTGTTTTGGGTGTTTTGATGCCTGATACCTGATCCCGTTGACACCTCTTTTCTCCCCTCCCACCCTTGATCTGATGACGTAGAAGAGGTGAAGATAAAATGAGGGAGGTGCTGTCATCCATCCAAACTGAGGCGTAAGAAAATGTTTCCAAAAAGAGGAGCTGATACCAAGGGCTCAAGTAGAAAGAACATGTTTTGAAAATGATGATGGCAACATTTGTACAAATGTGCTTGATACAATGGATGTATGGATTGTTGTAAGAGCTGTAAGAGCCCCCAATAAAATGATTTATAAAAATATATAAAGAAATAAAGTGTTAAACAGCAGAGATGTCACTTTGAGGACTAAGGTACTCGTGACCTGCTCCGTGGCATTTTCCCATTGCCTCATAGGCATGTGAAACTGAGCCACGACTAAGAAAGACAGGAGAATCGATGCATTGAATGGTGGTCCCATGGACTGCCAGAAGAACAAACAAATCTGTCTTGGGAGAAATATATCCAAGATGTTCCTTAGAAGCAAAGATGATGATACTTCATCTCAGGTATGTGGACACATTATCAGGAAAGACCAGTCCCTGGTGAAGATCATCCTGCTGGTAAAGGAAAGGGTGAGCAAGAACGAAGACCGTCAACAGGACGGGTTGACACAGTAGCTGCAACGATAGCTGAACCACAATAACGATAGTGAAGGTGGTGCAGAGCCCAGCAGTGTGTCTGTCCTTCTGTTGCACACCAGGTCGCAACAAGTAGGGACCTCGATGGCACCTAACAACGTCAGCCACATGGCAGACAGTCTGCTGTGGGCTTCACAGTCTCCTATCAGCTCCCTCCGTACACACAGCAACGGGTGAAGACGATTTGAATTCTTCAATTACAAGGAAGGAAACTGGGACCCAGAAAGGTTAAGCAGCAGGTCTACAGGCACAGAAGTGAAGCGAGGGGAGTGGAGTCCAGAAAGACTGGCTTCAAATCAAGCTCTAAAAGGACTCTCTCCTAACAGCCTCAAGCATTCTAGAACAGTGATCCCTCGGTAAAAGGAGTGCTTTCTGGGCAACCCTCACCCCCACCCCCCTCCAGCCCTGCAGCCCAGAGGAGTCCTCATCCACTGCTGCCGGGGATGCAAAATGATGCAGCTGCTAAGGAAATCCTTTGGGAAGCACCTCAGCAAGTTACACATAGAAAGGACCCAGGGACCCAGACATTAGGATTATGACCCTAGGTATCTACCCAAAAGAATTGGAGAGGAATGCAAATAGGAACCTGCACACCAATATTCATGGCAGCACCGTGCTCCCTCACCAATGGATAGAAAGGTCCATCGACTGATGTATGGATAAGCAAACTGTGATTCCTACATCCAATGGAGAGAAGAGAAAGGAAGCATGAAACATGAAGACAGTTTGCTGTCATAGAAAGACACATACTGTTTGAGCCTACTTGTCTGATGCAAGCTCATATGTAGAGGGAAATTTTCACTCATGTTTCCCACTGATGGAAGGGAGGAGGGGGGAGGAAATTAGCACTGAGGGGACACTAAGTTTCTGACGATGGCGAAATAAATCAGGAAAAGACAGTCATGATCATTGCGCAATCTGATGCGTGTAACCAACGTTTCTGAATTACACATGTAAAAATGGTTGAGTTGGCCAATCTCTTCCTGTGTATTTTTACCACAATAAAAAACCTCACCACCACCCCCAACACACACACACACCTCCTTTTTTTGTGGATGGGCTGGAGAAGCCAACTTCATCAAATACACAAGAGGTTAATTCTTGAGCATGTGTCCCCCATACCTTGTTGCTTCACCAAGTTCTGGTTGGTTTTCAAGTCGCTGGGGGACAAGCACATCAGGGTTGACCATGCTCGCAGGAAATACTGGAATGCTTCCTGCATCATTCCGATTTCAAGGTAGAGCTCCCCAAGGGCGTTCTGTACCGTGGAAAGCATTTCTGTCGGGGATTGATTCTGTACAAGATGAAAAGGAAATTACTCATGAGGAAACACAGCATTGGCAAAACTGCATCCAACTACACGCCCACCCGAGAAAGGCCGCTCCAGGACAAACTTGTGAAAGAGCATCTGCTTTGCCCTGTTGGTTGGAGAAGGTCAAGTACTTCCAAAATGAAGGTGCTGGTGCAACGGCGCATAAAATGGTCTAATGGTCTTAGTGCATAAAATGTTTATTGGGAAGTTTTCCCAATCAACTCTGGGGAATGTTGTCATGGATTATTTCTAATTAATATGTAATAAAACTCGAGAATAATAACAATATGATGATTTCTTACATCGATTAAAGGTCCCAGAGGTGATGGAACCCCGGATTCCAATGAGCAGCTACAAACGCTTCCTGCACGAGCCTTGATTTCAAGCACGACTGAAGAGCTACTGATTTCACGTACTTTTGCTTAGAGACTTAAATTCAATTCCTTCTTCTCATCAAACATATTCATTTCAGAAGTACTTCAACTTCCTTACCTCAACTCACTCCTCTATCAGAACTATCTGAATGTCTCAGAATATACTCCCAACCCCAACTCCCTGCCATCAAGTCAATCCCAACTCAGAGCCACCCGATAACACAGTAGAACTGCCTCTTTGGGTTTCCAAGACTTTACTTTTTTTTTCTGTTTAAATACATACTCTTTTATTTCCATAAATGTAAACCAAATGTCTTGGCTATATTTTAAAGTGTGTTTCTCTCTTGTTTTTTCTCTCTCTTTTTAAAAATCATTTTATTAGGGGCTCATAAAACTCTTATCACAATCCATACATACATCGATTGTGTTGAGCATATTTGTACATTCATTGCCCTCATCATTCTCAAAACATTTGCTCTCCACTTAAGTCCCTGGCATCAGCTCCTCATTTTCCCCCTCCCTCCCTGCTCCTCTCTCCCTCATGAACCCTTGATAATTTATAAATTATTATTTTGTCATATCTTACACTGTCCAACGTCTCCCTTCACTCACTTTTCTGTTGTCCGTCCCCCAGGGAGGAGGTAACTTGTAGATCCTTGTAATTGGTTCCTCCTTTCCACTCCACCCTCCCTCTACCCTCCCTGTATCACCACCCTCACCACTGGTCCTGAAGGGATCATCCACCCTGGATTCCCTGTGTTTCCAGTTCCTATCTGTACTAGTGTACATCCTCTGGTCTAGCCTAATTTGTAAGGTAGAATTGGGATCATGATAGTGGGGGAGGAGGAAGCATTTAGGAACTAGAGGAAAGTTGTATGTTTCATCATTGCTACACTGCACCCTGACTGACTAAGACTTTACATTTTTACAGAAAACATCCTCATCTTTCTCCTGTGCTGGGTTCAAACTGCTGTTCAATGGGGAACCCACTACGCCACCATAGGTGGATATGATTTCTTAGAACCCCAATATAAGAAAAGAGAGTAGATGAGTTAGTTACTTTAATTTGCTGATGCCATCTCCTTTCAGAAAACTTAGTTATTGTATCTTATTATATTATTGGGATAAGTGAATCTTTCCAGCAACTAATAAGGTCCTGCTCAAATACCCACCATTATCATCATCAATAATTACATAAAACGTGATGCCATACCATAATGTTAGCCCAAAAAAAGGACTGACGGACCCTGACTCCATGGTGTGAATTCAAAGACTTTGAGTCTTTTGACTCTCTGGTACCTCTTCCAGAAACCCCTGTGGTGTAGTGACTTCTCATTGGGCTGCTAACCAGGTTACTAGTTCAAAACAACCCACCACTCCAAGAGAGAAAAACATGAAGCTGTCTACTCCTATAAAGAGTTACAGCCTCGGAAACCCACAGGGGCAGTTCTACTCTGTCCTATAGTTGCAATTGACTCTGTGGCAGTAAGTTTGGGTACCTTTTCTCAGACTTCTTCGGAAAAGCCCTCCAGACACTGTGGGTTAGGTCCATGCCCAGCTGATCAGCGTTTGTGACTTGGCCCAGAATTTCAAGCAGATGTTCTACAAATATATCTACTCTATCTATCTGAGCTGCTCATCTCCTTGGCCCCGGAGGCAGCCTGGAGTGGTGTGGGATTCCGGGGCCATTTTACTCCTGCTTCAAGCTTCTCTGTACACACGCCCTGCTCCCAGCAGCTCTTCCTCACCTTTCCTCTGCTCCTCCACTTCAAAGATGGCCTCCATTTTGACCTGGCTGAGATCCAATCAACTCTGAGAGAGGGCCTGCCAATGTTGGTTAGGATTCTGATTGGCTGCAACTCACAGAAAACCTGTGCTGTATAGGATATCTCGTAGTACACACACCCCACCCCACCCCCACACACACACACTAAAGGCCAGTAGTACACTGTCCCCAGTTGTGACCGGCAAACTTCTTCTAGATATTGCCCAATGTCCCCTGAAGAATAAAATTGCCCCCAGTTATAAACCCACTGCCTTAACTTTGAAAACTATCTCATCCAAAGAAACAGTATAAATGTGCCCATAGGAAACAGTAAGATCTTTTCCTTCAAGAATGTTAGGCATACATGGGGGAGGGAGAGCTTCAAAAAGCTTGTAGAAGAACTCCATTATCTTTTCATTCTATTTTCCCACAAACTTTTCAAGGCCTGCTCCTATTTCAAAAAATGTTATTGCCCAAAATAGCTTGAGAACTTCTCTGCTGGAAACGCCATCAGAGCTTAAAGAGAATTCTTTTCATAGTCTCCATGGTGGCTAGTCCCCAAGAACTGCTGCAAATATACTTTGGGAATAGAATCCTAAGAGCAAGGCCTCTGGAAGGAATTCTCCGAAGCGGGAAGCTCTCCCCGAATGTCTCAGCTTTGGAATTCCCCCTACGATGGCAGCCTTCACCACGACAGGCACGTCTCGCTGAGCAGCTGTGGCTACCAAGAGTTCGCGCAAGACTGGAAGCTTCAAGGGGCCAAACACTGTACCTGCTTCACTCCCTGCTCTCACCTCCACTCCCAGCACAGTGCTGGGCCTAAGCAAGCCCTCAATGAACATTAGCTGAGTGAATGAACGAGTTAAGGATGACAATCAAGACTCAACATTGACCTAATCCATGTGGTTGCTGTTAGGCACCATCGAGTCAACTCCAACCCAGAGCGACCCTGTGCACACAGAATGGAGCATGGCACGGTGCTGTGCCAGCCTCACAGTTTCCTATGCCGGAGCCCATTGAAGCAGCCACTGTGTCCACCCATCTCGTCGAGGGCTTCCTCTTGTTTGCTGCCCCTCCACTCTACCAACTATGATGTCCTTATCCAGGGACTGGTCTCTCTTGACAATAGGTCCAAAGTAAGATGAAGTCTTGCCATCCCTGTCTCTAATGAGCACTCTGGCCTTCTTCCAATATAGATCGGTTTGGCCTTGTGGCAATTCGTGGTACTTTCAATATTCTTCTCCAGCACCACGATTCAAATGCATTGATTCATCTACGGTCTTCCTTATTCAATGTCCAACTTTCACATGCATATGATGCAATGGAGCATACCAGGATTTGGGCCAGGCACATCTTAGTCCTCAAAGTAGACCCTTGCTCTTCAATAGTCTAAAAAGACCTTGTGCAGAAGATTTACCTAATGTGATATGACTTTTGATCGCTTGACAGCTACTTCCATGAGCATTGACTGTGGATCCGAGCAAGACAAACTCTTTGATGTTACCTGTTGGTCCATTGTGAGGATTTTGGTCTTCCTTCCCTTGAATTTTTTAAACTTAAATAAATCATTCTATTGAGGGCTCTGATAGCTCTTAGAACAATCCATACATCAATTGTATCAAGCACATTTGTACATACATTGCCATCATCATTTCCAAATATTGTCTTTCTACTTGAGCCCTTGGTATTAGCTCCTCTATTTTCCCCCCTCTGCCACCCTCCCACCCTCATGAACCCTTGATAATTTAGCATTATTTTCATATTTTACACTGTCTGCTGTCTCCCTTCACCCACGTTTCTGTTGTTCATCCCCCTGGATGGGTGTGTGTGTGTGTGTGTGTGTTTATGTCAATCATTGTGCTCAGTTCCCCCTTTCCTCCCCATTCTCCTCCCACCTTCCCCCTACCCTCAGGGTATCATTACTCTCAATATTGGTCCTGAGGGGCTTATCTGTCCTGGATTCTGTGTCGAGAGGTCTTATCTGTAGCAGTGTACATGCTATGGTCTAGCCCGATTTTTAAGGTAGAATTGGAGTCATGATAGTGAGGTGGGGGGAAGCACTAAGAACTAGAGGAATGTTGTGTGTTTCGTTGGTGCTGCACCCTGACTGGCTCATCCCTTCCTTGTGACCCTTCTGTGAAGGGATGTCCAATTGTCTGCAGATGGGCTTTGGGTCTCCATTCTGACCCCCCTCATTTGCATCAAAATGGTTGTTTGTTTTGGGTCTTCTGATGCCTGATACCTGATCCCATCGACACCTTGGGTTCACATGGGTTGGTGTACTTCTTCCGTGTGGGCTTTGTTGTTTCCCTGCTAGATGGCTGCTTGTTTAACTTCAAGCATTGAAGACCCCAGACAATATATATTGTAATAGCCAGGCACCATTACTTTTCTTCACCACATTAGCTTCTGCACCCATTTTGTCTTCAGCAATAGTGTCAGGAAGATGAGCATCACAGAATGCCAGGTTATTAGAACAAAGTGTGCTTGCATTGAGGGAGGACCTGAGTAGAGGCCCAATGTCTGACTGCTACCTTAATATTTAACCTTTTCTTTGAGTTTTAATCCATACTGAAGGCTACAATCCTTGATCTTCATCAGCAAGTACTTCAAAAGTTCTCCTCACTTTCAGCAAACAAGGTTGTTCATAAGCCTTCCTCCAACCCTGATGCCACACTCTTCTTCATATAACCTCGCTTCTCTGATGACTTGCTCAGCATATAGATTGAACAAGTACAGTGAGAGGATACAACGCTGACGCACACTTTCCTGATTTTAAACTGTGCAGTATTCCCTTGTTCTTTTAGAACTGCCTCTTGATCCATGTATATGTTCCAATAAGCACAATGAAGGATTCTGGAATTCCCATTCTTCTCAAGCTTATCCATTGCTTATTATGGTCTATATCACTCTATACGGTTGAATGCCTTTGAATACACAAGTCAATGAAACATGAGTAAACATCTTTCTGGTATTCTCTGCTTTGAGCCAAGATCCAACTGACATCAGCAATGATATCCCCAGTCCCACATCCTCTTCTGAATCTGGCCTGAGCTTCTGGCATCCAACCACTGTTGGATGATCTTAAGCAACACACAAGCCACCACAGTATGACAAACTGACAGACAAGTGGTGGATCCTAATCCATACCTGGTAATCATTGGATAGACATGCATCAGCAATAGATGGGAAAACATTTGGGAAGGGGAGATTCTACCCTCACAACAGGACACCAGAGTCCTCTCATTCTTCTTCCAGGAAGATCAAAGTGTGGTCACCCCAAAACCAAATCAAGCACATTGCTGCTGGTTTGGTTCTGACTGATAGTAACCCTAGAGCAGGTTCTCAACCTGTGGGTCATAACCCCTTTGGGGGTCAAGTGACCCTTTCACAGGGGTCGCCCAACTCATAACAGTAGCAAAGTTACAGTTATGAAGTAGCAACAAAAATAATTTTATGACTGGGGGGTCACCACAACATGAGGAACTGTGTTAAAGGCTCACTGTATTAAAGGGCAGTAGGAAGGTTGAGAACCACTGCCCTAGAGGGTAGAGTAGAACTGGCCTACCGAGTTTCCACAGCGGTCAGTCTGCATGGAAGCAGACTGCGACGTCTTCTTCCTGAAGAGCAGCGGGTGGGTTTGACCTATCGATCTTCCTTTTCCAAGCACGTGACAGTCAAACGCTGAACTGCTCCCACCACCCGAGCAAACCCATTGCTACTGAGTCCTTTCCCACTCTTGGCGACCTTCTAGGACACGTAGAATTGCCTCTGTGGGTTTCCAAGACCATACATCTTTATGGAGCACAAAGCCTCCTCTTTCTCTTGCAGAGCACTGCATGGTTTCAAACTGCTCATCTTGAGGTTTGTAGCCCAGGGTGTAACCCAACACAGGCTCCTTAAAAAGTGGCCAAAGCTGCTTCCTTAAAACTCGTCACATTATTGCTAACAGAGGCCTCGTGACTTCATCATAGCCCAAAGAGAGGAATGACCAAATAACTGGCAGTACTTGAGATCTTAGAGACCTGGTGGTGTGGTCAGTTTAGTGTTGGGCTGTTAACCATCAAGTTGGCAGTTCAAACCCCGCAGCCACTCCACAGGAGAAAGATGAGGCTACCTGTTCCCGTAAAGATTTACAGCCTTAGAACCCCCATAGAGGGTCATTTTTATTCAGAATCGACTCAGTAGCCTTGGGTTTGGTTTGGGGCTTGGGGTTTACTTATGATCTTACTTGGATGAAACCTAGGATCAATGAGCCTAGAGGGACAGCAAGTAGAACAAGGGGTTCGGGGGGAGGGGCCTACAGTGGTGGTGGTAGGGTGGAGGGGAGACAATGTCAAGGAATCCATGTAGGAAAGACTTTTTGGAAACTGTGGTAGCAATAGTGCATTCCACCTGACATGATTGAAATTTGGAATGATATAGGTATTAAATTCCAACCGATAATAATAACAAAATTTTAAAAGCATAAAGAACTCAAAACAATTTTTTAAACTTGGAAGAACGGCCTGTTGACCTGCTTCCAAAAACTAGCCAATGAAAACCCTAAGGATTCTGAGGGCATGCTATCTAATATCATGCTGGAAGATGCGCCCCCGGGCTTAGCCCACACTGTGTACACATGGTAGTCACAGCAGTCAACGCAGACCAATACATCGACAACCCTGAAGATACCCCAAACCCAGCACCCAGGCTTACGGCCATCACATCCATTCCGACTGATAGCAACCCTCTCAGACATGGCCGAAGTGTCCCTGTGGGTTTCTGCGACGGTAACTATGAGCATGGAAAGCCTCACCTTTCTCCCACGAGTCAGCTGGTGACTTTGAACTGCTGACCTTACCATTAGCGGCCCAATTCATAACTCCCTCCGCCCCCAGAGCTCCCGGGCCTTGAGTGGTTCTGGTGTTCTGGATGTACTAACACGAACAACGATGTCTGTTCTCTCTCTGTGCGAGGCACTATGTGAAGGGCTTGGTGCACTTAAGCACAATCCTTCCGGTAACCCCATGCAACAGCTGTTAGAATCCTTAAAAATGAGAGCACCTTGGGCCAGAGGTTAAAATCCCTGTGAAGGTCACACCAGCAGCGAAAGATCAAGCAGGGTTTCAAACCCTTCCAGGACCATAGTGGTATTTCAAGGGCACATTGATTTATTGGTTCCTTATTTTTCTCATTTGCTAAATAAACACCAACAGGTTTAAATATGCTATGGGGAAAAAAATCCCAGGCCACCAGTCAGTTGATTCTGACTCCGGGCAACCCTTTAAGGCAGAGTAGAGCCACCCTGTGGGTTTCCGAGACTGTAAATCTTTACAGGAACAGAGTCTCATCCTTTTTCTTACAAAGCAGTGGGAGGGTTTTTCACTGCTGACCCGGAGGCTAGCAGCCCAGTGAATAACCAACTGTGCCACCAGAGCTCAGTCTGCCGCAGAGGACACAGAAATTGGCAAGTGAGCATGGTTTCTGACATAAAGATACTTGCCGCTGTTGATTTTTACACACTTCTTCCAGTGGCATTTCTTCTAGAAAGACGTGCAATGATGGCATAGGGTGAGGGTGCATAAACATTCGGAAGTCTTTGTTGTACGATTAAAAAATGGGCTTTGGCTTTGTTTTGGCTTGTACCTGCCCTTGGTCCACAAACTCTTCTGCAATCAGTGAACATGTGTAATTTTGTTTAAAGGGCAGTTGAAGGTCATCCCCAAACACAGTGAGTTGCCCAATGCGTGTGACATTGCAGTCAATGAAGCCAAGCGTTTGCAAGTCAGGGAAAAGGAAATCAATCTGGGGACCAGATAGCTGGTCTACCTGCCCTGCATCTCCCTGGAAGTTACCACAAAGGTGTGACTTCACCTCCATCCCCCATGGCTCTTCCCTTTATGAGCTTTCTGTTTACCCCTAAAGTTGATAGAGGGGGTGAAAGAGTTAACCCGCTGTTCGTCAGGAACCAGAAATGTAGCATCATTTGGGATTTGGTCTGCTGAGATTTAGTTGGTTAAAAGAGACTCAGGATGTGATAGTCCTCTCAAAGTTTCCTCTTAAACCTAATCAGCGACAATGGTCTAATTCCAGAAAGAGGGATTGAGGCCATTTGGATAAGCAGGGAGGCTGAAACCTTGTCTGACAGCCTCTGGAGTAATGAAGATACAGCAATTGAGGGCTGAATAATTCCTTGGGGAAATGCAGACGGTTTCTGTTGAAACTTGCTCCCTTTGTCTCATCGCTGAAGACCCTCTGGTCATGGTGAAACTCCTCTCCTGGGCCTATTGCAGAACCTGTTAACTATTTGCCCCAAAACCTGCCACAAAGTTTGGAGTATATAACTTGTTGGATTTTCACAGAAGCTTGAAACCGTTTGGAGGTAGAAACCCCATGGCTTCCTTCTGTCAGCGCCTGCAGGAAGGGACTTGGAAATTCTTGAGTCATTCTGGTCTCTGTCTTTGGCTAACACAGTGCCAAGCACCCCAGACCCCTTGTCTGTCGGCAACAAAGTGACGTCTATTCATTCATGCTATGACTGCCATCAATCTATCAGGCTGTTAACCACAAGGTCAGCAGTTTGAAACCACCACCCACTATGTGGGAGGAAGATGAGGCTCTGTGCACTCATGAAGACTGATGGATCAGAAGCTCTCAGGGGCAGTTCTACTCTGTCATAGGGGTTCCTGTGAGTCAAAATCAACTTGATGGTAGTAAGGGGATTTGTTTTGTTTTAGTTTGGTTTTTTGAGCGGGTACATAATGTACTCAAATTCTCAAAAACAAAACCCAAAAAAGCTCACTGCCATCAAGTTGATGATCTGACTCATAGTGACCCTCTAAGACAGAGGAGAATTACCCCTTTGGGTTTCTGAGGCTGTGAATCTTTGTGGACCCGACAGCCTCATCTTTCTCCAGAGGAACATCGGTGGGTTCGAACTACTAACCTTGTGGTTAGCAGCCCAACCCGTCACCAACTACGCCACCAGGCTTCCATGTCCATAATGTACTCAACTAAATCCAAGCTCATTGTCTTCGACTCATAGCAATCTCATAAGACAGGGTAGAACTGCCCCTGTGAGTTTCCGAGATTGCAAACCTTTAAGAGAACAGAAACCCTCATTCTGCTCTCAAGGAGCAGCTGGTGGGTTTGAACCATTAAACTTGCAGTTAGCAACATATAACCAACTCTGCCACCAGGGCTCTTTGTCCGTAATGTACAGTGTAGGTTAATATCATGACTTCCTCATTGATCAACATAATCAAATGATGCTTCTACTTGTTTGTGGACTTAATTGTAAAGAAGCAGGAGCAGAGGACACTTCTACTAAACTCTCTTACACAAGCGGAAGAGAAAGTGGGAGCGCTGGCATCGGATCGCCCTGTACCTGGACCAGCATGTCCTCCACATCCAGAAGCAACTGCTCCGCTTCCTTAGTGTCGCCCATGTGCTTCAAGACGCTGGCGACGAAGGCCAGGAGCCGGCATTTGTCCATGGTGGTCGCCAGGAAGGCGCTCTTTTCCAGCACTGGAATGAAAACAGAGGCAAGTAATCCCTCGGGCCCGTCTGGAACGGAACAAAGCGTACCCAGGGCCTAGTTGTGTCAATGGAGTTAATGCATGATTGTTCTCATGAGGTGTCCCTGTATTTATTACCAAGTATATTCACTGTCAAGAGCCGCCTGGGTATGTGTTCACCTGCCCACCACCAGGTCAGCACTTTGAAACCCCAGTTGGTGCTCAGGAAAAAGATCGGGCTTTCTACTCCCATAAAGAGTTATAGTCTCAGAAACCCAGTGGGGCAGTGCTACCCTGTCCTACACTGTCGTCAGCATCAACTCGATGGCAGTGAGTTTGGTTTCGATTATGGTACCTGTGAGCCAAACAAGAGCTAGGATGCTTGTCAATAAACTTGCTGTGCCCATTGTAAGACTAGGGGTCAAAAGCTCAATCCACATGATACCCAGAGCTTGTCTTTTGGGGTGTTTTTCTCGGCAAAGAGGCTGAGTTTAAATTTCTTATACAATTCTGCCCTCTGTTGCAATGATCTTGAATTGCTACTTTAACAGGGAGAAAAAATAGCAGAAACCACCCGCTTTCAGTTAGCAGTGCACTGCCTAACCCACTGCGCCACCAGAGCATTCGATAGCTACATGATAGAGATAGACAGACAGACAGGTGTGAGGGGGCTTCAAAGTATGTGGAAAAAGTTACATATAATGGACTTTTTCCCCATACGCTTTGTGACGCTGTCTTACACACACACACACACCACTCACACATATAATTAAACTTTACGATAGACAAATCAAAACACAGAACTCTAACTTGGAGACTCAGTTAAATGCATCGTCCTGCAAAGTCACCGTTTTCAGGATGTCTCTCTTCAGACATTCCCGCGTCTGAACGTCCACATTTGTCCACTGGTGATCGTTTGCGTCTCACGCGTTTGACACCAGTGCACTCTGCGTCGCTCCCTCGGTTCCTTCGCTCGCGGCCCTTCCACGTCCTTTCTGCCAGCTTTGCTCTGGGTTTCCACTCACCCACCGAGGGAGTGTGGGGTGGGCTCTGGCTTTCCAGGCTCTGAACCAGGCAGGCAGACAGACAGACTTGGGGAAGCCCTCGGCCCACAGAGAGGTGGTGGGCGGAGTTAGGGAGGGGAAGCCGAGTGCAGGGTTTGAACTAGACATCTGGCCCTACAAGTTAGAGAGCACAACCTCCGAGCCGAGGCGAGGGTGCTGAGGCCCAGAGTGACCACTGGAAAGGCAAGGCCGAGGCGAGGGTGAGGCTTGATGGGGAGAGCAGCCTGGGCACCTGACCACCAGCCACTCAGAGTAGACCACGGAGGAGGGTCTGAAGGAACACTGGAGGCATGATGTATTTTTGTTTTTATTTTTCTGTGCAACGTTTCTGATGCTCCTTATATTTAAAATATATCTAATTTATATTTGCAAACATTACACTAGATTTTTAATATCATATAATGAATGTAAAATATATAAGAGGGGGACTTCAAAAAGTTCATGGGAAAATAGAATTAAAGGATGATGGGATTTTTAAGGCCCTTCATAGATACTAGGAGGTTACACACACACACACACACACAAAACGGATTTTTTTCCCCTCAAAGTCATGTATTTAATTTTTTTTACAAAACAACCTTATCACATTCAAAGTACTCTTCATTACACATATTACATTTGTTAAATCTGTGATTCCATTCTTGGAAACTTTTTTCTTTTTGAAATAAATCATTTTATTGGGGGATCTTACAGCTCTTAAAACAATCCAAATATCAATTGTATCAATCACATTTGTATATATCTTGCCATCATCATTTTCAAAACATGTTCTTTCTACTTGAGCCTTTGGGATCAGCCCCTTTTTTAGGAAACATTTTTCTTTTCTTTCCTTTTCTTTTCTTGTGTGTATGTATAAGAAAGAGCTTTATATACAAGAGGAATATTGAGAAAACACCCCAACCCAGTCCAGATCAAGTCCATAAGCCCGATATTAGCCCATATGTTTGATACCAATCTATAAATTCCTCTTCAGATTCACAAAACACATG